GGGACGTAGATGCTGCAGATGAAGACGAGAGATGGGGGACAACTAGCACAAACAGGGCCAGCGCACTCAATATGCAGCGAGAACTAGATATGAAGCAAGGGTCGAAGGAGCATATTGAGGAGCAAAAGCGGCAGCAGCGGGAGTGGCTGAATAGTCTTGCAAGACAGCAGGCACCGGCCGGTATGTTGGAGATGGATACGAGGCCCGACTATAGTACAGGACCTTTAGGAGGAGGATCAAGTGCTAGTATCGGCGGGTCGGATGAAGGAAGCAGCCAGAGGCCATCTACTGCTTCTTATCGGCAGGAGGCAAGGTCTTTGCCGAACGAGATGGACTGGGTGCCTGATTGAGGATCACTTATTCAATCAAGCCCAGCCTTTGAAGCAGGGGAAACAAAGTCTTCTTTGCCAGATAAGCTAAGTCAGGAATGGTGAATTGAATATGTCGATATAATTTGGATGAAGGAGTTAAGAAGTCACTGTGGAGGCAACGGCTTGTTTTCTATTTGTCTCATTTGGCAAGCAGGCATACTTGAATGGGGCTTGAAACTCAATGAAGCTTTTCTGAGACATGCGTCTTGCTCAGGTTTCCCAGGTTCATTGGTGAAATGATTGTGTGATCTCATGTGTGCAATCTCCACCGCCAAATACTATATGCGTATTCGTCAACTCGAACCCTGAGGTATCACAGGACAAGGTGGGACCCGGAGGAGAGTCCATAACCTGATTTATCTCATCTGTTCTCAACAGCAGTAAAAGGGACTCCTGCCCATAAGCTTAAGATGGTTATACCCCTAATTCTGAAGTGCAGAGCTACCGAGCTGTATCTTGTGGGTTCAAATTCCACAAGCGCCCTTTATATCTCGTCTTTTTGTTTTTCTTCTTTCTTTTTTTCCTTCCCTGCTTGAGGCCATAGTACCTCGCTCTTGATAAAGTCACATGAGGATATTGGAAACCATCACTCGCTTAAGGACTCACTACCTTCTCCTCTGTGCAAATGCCACGTATCATCACACCTCACTCCATCTTCATATCGCATCAATATCAATCTCCGGCGCCTCCCTTCTCCTAAACAATAGCTTCGCCGTACTATCCGAGTTCCACGCAAACCCCCACTCCTGCCACTGATGCTCATACCCAGGCGTCAACTTCCAGTCAAACTTCATCAGCAAATGCGCCAGCGCAATCTTGAGCTCGTTGCCGGCGAAGAAGCGACCCGGGCACGCGTGCTGGCCATGGCCGAAACCGAGGTGCGAGGGTGATGTGCTGACGAGGTGGGCTTGGCTATCAAGCTTCGGGTCGCCGCGCATCTCGAGGAAGCGATAGCCATTGAAGGCTTCGGGGTTCGGGTAGATGGAGGGGTCGTGCATCTTGCCTAGGTCGCCGACGCAGCGTTCTCCTTTTTGGAGTTTGAGGCCGTTGGGGAGGGTCACTTGGCGGGTTGCCATGCGGGCCATGATTGCTGGTTGGTATGGTGAGCGACGGGTGCTTGGAGGATATTTTCCTGTTGTCATAGGAAATAAAAGGAGAGACTTACCAGATGTGACTGGCTTCAGTCGTTGTGACTCTTTCAAGACGCTGTCCATGAGTTTCATATTGAAAAGAGCCGTCTTCTTCCAGCCTTCAGCGGTCAGAACTTCCACAATTTCCTTCCTAAGGGCATCAAATAACTCTGGGTTCTCTGCAATGCGTAGCATAGTCTCTACGAGTAGATCCGTGGTGGTATGAATTGCAACGACCGACAGACCCAGCTGCGCGCCAACAACATCATACTCCCGCCCCTGACTCTCCTCTTCGAACCAATCAATGCCATCATTAAACTTCGGTGCCGGCTCGCCCCTCTCGATAGCCTGCTGTCGCGCATCTCTACGTTTTTGAAGCACCGGCTCAATGATGTCTCGAGAATCAGATACCTGCCGCCTAAGAGTTTTGCACTCAGGGAGGATCAAGTTGGCGGCGTAACGCAGCCAGTATGGGTACGGACGCAGGATCTCGGCGCCGAGGAAGGCGTTGACGGTGTAGGACTTTGTTATCGCGAGCCAGGCTTCGTCGCGGCATACTTCATCGCCGAGAAAAACGCGGGAGGAAAGGCGGCAGATGAGGTCGAGAATGGTGTCTTTGGTGTTGTACTCTTGCCAATCTACATAGAGCAGTCATAAGCGTGTTAGTAATGTAAACAGATGACAAACGGTTACTCTACAGTTGGCGTGACAAGAAACCTACCGGTGGGCTTGCCGAAGATGTGATCGACAGCAAATCTGGTTTCCGACGCAAGAGGCTCCGTGATTTGATCTGCATCATCGTGTAAGTATCGTGATGGTGTGTTGCTGTAACGTGGGGTCTCAATGTGGGGTGTGGGGTAAGAAGAGGGCAACTTCGTGATGGAGAGCGAAAACCTACTGAGTAATTTGGTGATGCGCTTTTTGATGACAAGCTGAAAAAGTCCGTCCGGTCTGTTGCCAACCGCGAACCCTTCGAATCCATTCAGTTGAGGGTGGAAGTTGTCTGCGAAAGCCTTTGAAAAGCTCAACCCTGGCTCATTGCGAATATCGTGAACTAGATCCGGCGGAATGACAACTGTTTCACCAACGTCCGTCATGAGTCTGTAAGGCTGGCCGGGGAATTGAGTTCGGGCGTCTTCCATGATACGACGAGCATTTATCAAGAAACCCTTCTTCCGTTCTTGGTTGAAGAAATCGAATAGTCGCCCCGGGTTGACGGAGGGGAGTTTGCGAGAAGGCTTGCGAATGTGGGGTATTATCGTGAAGACGCTGATGAGGATGATGCCGAGACATAGTGATGTCCATAAATCCAGTTTACGTATGAGTGACGAATCGTCGGCCCATGAGTTGAGAAGATGTTTGGGGGGTGTTATGGCCTCCATTTTGGCAGTTTAAGGTGGGAGAAGGTATGAAGCAAAAATTGATAGACCAAGCTTGGAGATGGTGAAAGGTGTAAGTGCGTCTACCATCAACTTATATGCTCTGCCCGGTCTCAGAGGGGGCAACTCGGCGGTGAACAACTAATCATCGTCGATTTCACCATTGCACGAGAAATTTGGTATTACAAGTCAAGAATTACTCCAAACCATCTCCACGTTGACGTTGTTTCTAGCATATCACGGTGCTAAATCGCTGCCCGCCGGTCAACACTCCCGTCGTTGCAACTCTGCGCGACCCGCCGCCAACCCTGTCCGTAGCCGTCTCAGACGAATCAGCGGCGCTTACAACTGGGGACCGCGTCTCTTAAGTTCCGAGTCATGCAGATCATTGTAGCAAGCTTCGGAAGCAGACAAGTGCCCGACAGCGGGACGGGTGGATCTCTAAAATCTGGGATAGTTTTTGATGCCCCCCGGGGAATCGTCCTCAAAAGCGACGACCATCCTCCTCAAATTCTTTTCAGTTTCTAATTCTGTTCGTGCGAGGTCTTGTTTCTTTGTCACGACTCCCCGCCTAACAAGACTGTCCCCACTTACACCTCGCAAATTCTTTCTTCAACCAAGGCCGACGATGCGGGGGTTAGCCTGGTGTTTTGACGCGACACGGGCAGTGATGGGTTACTAAAGTTCAACAACGCGGAGTGCGAGGGCACCGGTTGTCCGTTGTGGCTACGCGCACCATACATATAGGACGAAGCCTTGGTTCGCGCCAGGCATGACTTGCGATGACGGCAACTTGGCAGATTCCGTGGTCCTGCACAACTTTTATGTTGTTATGGCGAGTAGAGTAGCATCTGACACCAAAGGTGAAAAGGATTCCGGTTCGCCAATGGGAGGATACATGTGTTTCATGCTTCCTTGAGGCTCTAACAAGCTCGGCATGAGTGATTGGCACCGTGCATCTAGGCAAAAGATATTTCCAGATAGCGGGTGACAGCTTGCTTTGACATTGTCTTCCCAATGCCGCCTGCATTTGTCAGTCCTGACATTAACTGCCATCTGTCAACTGAAGTTGATTAATAATGTCAGAAGAGTGCAAACTTGACGCATCTGAGCAACTGAGCCTGCTGTCGTCATGGGCCACGGCCATCAGCCATCGGAAGGCCAGCATACCGGATAGAATCCAGAAGATATCACGGCCGGTAGTACGAGGCATCAATCTCTTGAACTTATGAGCAAGTACGACTACATCTTGACTCAAACAAGCTCTCGGTTAATGATGTTCTCAACTAGGCTTCCCGCTATCAGTTCTCGGCAATCCGACTACAAAAGCAGCTGCCAACTGGCTGCAAAGAGTGACCTGTAGGTTGACTAACACCCTCCTTCAGCGCCATAGCTCACCACATCCGGTCGTACAGTCGAACTCTATGCCAGATCCCCAGCATGACTTTGGGAGAGGAAAAGGAATATTGCAATACCACGATTATTCTAGGAAGAATTTCGCCGGATACCTTCCGATTTATGTGCAAGATGTGATGGCGGCTCGGCTCCCACATACCGGATTATTCGGAGCCGGGGCCCTATATTCTCCTCCGCTATGATCTACAAATAAACCGAACTCCAAATTGACCCCAATGATGATTACCGCTTCCAAGGACGAACAGAGAATACTCGCATTCGTAAATCGTAGTTGATCTACACTCGACGGTCCGCGGCCCCCATTCACCCACATTCCGATTTTTCAGTGGAGAAAAGTTGGAACAGTCGTCAGCCTCTGCGAACGCTGTGGCACCGTACATACCTATTTTAGATTGACGATATGCTACAAGCTTGTGCGGGCTTGTAATGAAATGACTGTGATTCGTCATTACACTGCCCGCTCCATGGGCGAGTACCCAGTTGATGTCGAAATGCCGACAAGTTGTTCATCCTCGGTGACGCGTTCAGGGGAACCAAGTCTTCGACGAAAGGTGTCGACATGGCATTTCCATCAAAGGTAATCAGTTTTTCGAAAGGTGGCCAAGATTGAGACGTGTATAAGATAAATAGAGTTCGGATGTTTCTCAGCGTCTCGTTCATCCAAACTGTCTCTCAGTACCTTAGCAACCTTCTCTCCACACATCATGAAACTCTCAACCGTTGCAATTAGCGCGTTCGCCTCCTTGGCCCTTGCCCACAAGGAAGTAGCCCCTGGAGTCGTCAAACGCCACGCCGATCTCTCTAAGCGCTGTGCTTCCGGAGCCGCAAAGTTCAAGCAGAAGCGATTCGAGAAGCGTCAGGAGGAGGCTAGCCTGAACAAGCGATCCGGCAACAGCTCTTACACCATCGTCACCGAGGGCCCCTACTACGACACCCTCCAGAACGACACCTGCGTCCTCGCCCCCGATGTCACCGCTGGTCCGTACTACTGGCCCCGGTCAGAGACCTTGAGGCAGGACATGACCGAGGACCAAGTCGGCGTTCCTCTTATCCTCGACGTCGGTGTTCTTGACATGGCCACGTGCGAGCCTCTTCCCAACGCCCTTGTTGCGTTCTGGCACTGCAACTCCACGGGCAGCTACTCCAGTTTCACTGGCCGTGATCCCAACACGGACTTCCGGGAGCTCCTCGAGTCTCTCAATGTCACCGACTTTGAGATTGGCACCACGGATCTTCACACTGATGACACCACATGGCTTCGTGGCATGTGGCCCTCAAATGATGAAGGTATCCTTGAGATGAAGACCATCTTCCCTGGTTTCTACATCCAAAGATCTATCCACATCCACGCTCAAGGTACGCCTGGTGTTTTTTTTTTTATGAAAGTAATACTTCGAAGCTGACAGATTCAACTACTCTTTACCGATTGGGTTCTCCACAGCAACGGCACTGTCAAGACTGGCAACACCAACTCTATTGGCCAACTTTACTTCAACGAGTCCATCTCACAGGAGATCATGGCCTTGGAGCCCTACGTCAGCCACACCGAGATCAACCGTACGACGAACGACGTGGACTCTGTTTACTCTTCAGGCCTCGCAAATGGCTACAACCCCGTCATCGACATCGTCCCTCTTGATGGTAGCGACATCACCCAAGGCATGGTCGGCTACATCACCATCGGCATCGACACGGAGAACAGCCCTTCTTTGAGTGGTCCAGAGAGCGAGCAAGGTGGCGGAGGCGGTTCCCCCAGTGGAAGTGCCATGCCTAGTGGAACCGCGCCGGCATAAGGATGAAAGGACGATTATCGATGCTGCATATATTCGGAGTTCAGAGAGTATCAGTAGGAAATAGACAGTCACAGCATACGGGATGGGAGTCAATATCATTAAGAACATTCAATGCCGCATTCCATTCAAAGATCAACGAGGTTTCCACTGTATTTCATGCTCCAAGGCGTCTTTGAGTAAAGACATTCTCCTTTTATCGTTCAAGACTACAAGTCCATGTGTATCAGGCAGGTGGGCAAGTTCAGAAGGTTGGGGAATGCCTGCATGGGTTTTCTTTGCGTATTCTTGCCAACCTACCTGCCCGAATACACAACCGCCAACCTAGTCATACGAACACACACCGAATGAAGCCCATATAGGTCCCCTCAGCTCCATTTCTGTCACTAGCCAGCAGGCGCCCGTCTAGGTCGAAGGATCGGATCAAACTGGCTGGTGGTGGAGTGGTTAATGGTCAACAATCAGTTGAACGCCACCCAGCCTACTCGACGACAGGCTTAGCGAGAGTACCCGAGTTCGGAGCCAGCACGAGTACCTGAAGTTTCCCAGTTTGAGCACCATGAGACGTAGCTCCCAATTCATCACCAGGGCGGCGAAGTCTTTTGTAATTTTGATCCTGTGAAACTTTTGATAATGCCACTTTCAATTGGTTAAATCAGCATGAAACGCAACTTTTCGGTTGTTGCCACCCAATCGGCGCGGTGCATCAGGTGATAGCTTCCAATACGCCGGAACTTTGGCAGTTGCTCATCAGCCTCCACTCCGCTTGCATACAGAACAGTGTCGTTCTTCGGCGATTGCGGCACAGGCTCAAGAAATAGTCCCTCAAACCTCAAAACGCGGTCTGTATGGTTGACCAACGGAAGGCAAACGACAATATCTCCTGTCGGTGTCTCTCCAGGCGAGTCCCAACCGTAAATTTGCGTCCAATCTGATTCAGAGTCTGAGATCGTCGTTTGGGGCATCGATAATAGCGCTTTCCGATCTCTTGTACTAGTGAATGCCTGGAGTTGAATGGTCTCTTCATCTCTGCCCTTCAGCTGCGAGATCATGTGCTTCGCGTCGCCATCGTCGTTAGTCTCATTTCTATAGAACGCCACCTTGAGGACACCCTCTAGAATCAACCCGTCATTTTCCGCCTTTCCGATCCTATTCATGCCACCAAGGCCAGAAGTTATGAGACCAACAGCCATTACCAGCCCCGTTCCATGTGGATACCAGTTCCCGAATGTTACCTGCGTGTTCAGTGTCATCCACGACCACGATGGCGCCAAGTAATCAGTCGGCCGCGCGCGAACCTTCTCCTGAGCACTCCAAAGCAGAGCCCATGGCAAACTCTCGTCTATCCATACACCATAAGCTTGTTGGGTATCGCGCTTATCCTGCAACTGACCGGGCAAGCCCGAAAAAGCCACTTGCCTGTCGCTAGGGAACGTAAGCTTTGTCTTTGAATACATCTTCACTGTTTCCGACCACGCAGCCTCAAAGGGCTTGGTCCCCGCGCTCTCGAGCAGCATGTCTCGAAAACGTCTCCGGTCGCCGATAAATTGCCACCAGATTGTGGCCGGCTGCGACGGGACCCCTTCAGGAAACGATTCACAAAGCTCGCGCTGGCCGCATCCCCAAAGGATCTGCTGCCGACCAAAGTAGAGAGTTCGAGGAGAAAGCAGTCGCTCCTGAAAGACCCAAGCTCGCTTATGCAGCGGCGCCTCTGGAATGTCTGACTTCCATCTGGCATCTAGGTTTTCCCCGTGAAGAAGAAATGGCGGAGCCACAGAATCCGTCGAGAACGGTGATGGTATGACGCAGGGCAAGACAGTCCAAGGGTCTCTGTCCGAAAAACAGCCGCCTGATCCGTTCGCCGCATGGCTTGCGGATATGGTGCAAAGTGACAGGCTGTATACCTTGCCCATAGTAGGAGCCTCTCGTCTCCAGTCATCCTCGCTCTGTTGAATGATGCAGATGGAATCTATCCATAGATATCGAACCCCAAGTCTCCTGGCGATGATAAAGGCGTCGGAAAAGGTTTTGGAAAGCTCTGTGTGCGGTATGCCTATCATAAACTGCTTGATGTTGGTTTCAAGGAGGGTACACGGCTGCTTTAAGCCCCAGCAGTGACTCAGCGTCATCCATTGAACAGGGCGTTGCAGAGATTGCGAATGTACCAGCTTGGCTACGTCGGAAGGGGACTCTCCCAAGTCAATCAGGCGAGTGGGGGCCCATCCGTCTTCGTTTTGCATTGAGCAATCGTGTGATGTCAGGCAATCCGTGAGAAACTTCTGAGCTAAGCCGAATGCTTGCTCCGAGCCAGTATTGGTGTTTAGAGCCAGAATTGACTCTTCCCTTGGAATCGAAGCTGCAATCTCCGCTGTCATTCTGCATGAGCTTCTGATATCATAGCAATCTAATTACTCGGAAGCGTCACGGACCTGTTGTTTCTTCGACCGAGAAAAATATGGTTTGCATCCTGTTGGCATTCTCTTCGTCTAATCTCCACAGACCCATGTGAATTTCGTAACCTTGCGTTCCGCTGGCGAAGCCGTATCGAAGCTCGAGACTATCGTCCGGATCCAAGTCATCCCAGTCTGGCCATGGAATATCGTGCGTTCCCCCAAAGTTCAAGCGTCGGAACCATATGAGACTGCAGATGCGACAGCCACCGCCCTTTCCTTGTTCCAGGCTCTCCTTTGTGTGCGGGAGCCGGTAGCCATCATTATTCGGAGAGTACAGACCGTATGAAGAGATTACTCTAGCTTCAGTGAAAATAGTCAGACAACGGTCACATAGATGAGACCAGCGACGGTGGTGAGACTGAGTCACCATAGCTACAAGGATTGTCGATCAATGTTGGAATCTGAGCTGGATTGCTCGCAAGTGTAATTAGGTAGCTGAATGCACCTTACTTTTTGCTGCTACGTAGATTGTGAAAGAGGATCCCCCAGATCAACTTATAGCTTCCAATCACGTGACGTAAGCAGAGTTGGACTTCTCCGGACTGCTGTTTTTCATTGGTTGTTACCTCTTACCCTAGTCCTGTGCAACGGCTCGAAGGTTATTCACAATTTTACAAGCAGCCAGACAAGATAGTAGTTAGAATGGAAACGATGTGATGTCTCGCCAACTAGCCTTCTCAGATCATCACCTGTACCGTGTGAACTAACACTATTTCAGCGAGTATACGGACTCATCCAATTAATCATGGTAGCTCCCGTCCCCCAAAGTTTCAGAAGCCCAATACAAGACTAAGAACATCTTTACAGAAGTCGTAAAAGATTACTGCTCCTATCAACATCAAAACGTCCTACGACCTGTTGAAAACGCCTGATTAGCCAACGCATCAGCCTCGGTGTTTTCCTCTCTTGGGATAGCCCAAAATAAGATGTCCCTCCCACCATCATCTCCATACGTCATCTCATCCAACTGCTCATGCAACTCCCTCAACACCTCAAAATGCGCAACCCTCTTTCCCCTCGCATTCAACCCTTCATTCTCGATCCAGTCCCCAATCCAAAGCGCCATCGCACTCGCAAGATACTCCGAGTCCGTCGCAATCGTAATCCGATTCAGCGAATAATCCCTCCCCGTAATCTCGCAGATAATCCTCACAGCCTGCACCAGCGCCTCAATCTCAGCCCTTGAGCTCGTCTGCGGGAGGTCCCTCGCCAACAACCCGCACGCGTTATATCGCGACCCGGGACCAAAGTAGACGCCCCACGAGGCTTGTGCATCGGGGAGCCCGTTGTTGCGGCAGGCGCCGTCAATGTAGACGACCATGCTGCCGCGTTCGGGGACGGGACGTTTGGTGGCCCAGGAGTACATTTGCATGCCGAGGAGATGGGTTGAGGGGTTGTAGATGACGAGGTCTGATCTGGGGACCATTCTGTGGGTGTCGCTTGCGCGGTGTTCGAAGAGGCGGCTTCCCATGCCGTCGTCATCGTCGTAGCCCATCATCGTTGTGGTGGTGTTGGGTCGTTTCACGACAGCTGTTGGGGACAAGATAGGAGACGAGTGTTTTCAGTCACACAAGAGGATATCCTCTAGTACTAGGGATGGTGCTGGGTAGATAGGTCGAGATGTTTTCTAATAGCCTGATCAGCATACTACTTTCTCGTAGACAGACAGCGATCTCATGGGTGAGCTTACGAAGGTATGAGATGTAATAAAAAGCCGTTGCTATCATCAACGTCTGAGTCGGCCGGGGTAGGTTGCCTGTCGATCACATGGAATCTGGTTATGAGCTCAACAGAGGTTGACAGAAGCATGGCCAAAAGAGGGGGAGGGGCAAAAGCTAGACCAATAGACTTGACCCAAAGACGGATAAAAGTGGCCCCATGCATATGAACTTCTGATGCCTCTTGGTTCTGATATCTAATGTTCATCATCCACTCTATCTTCCTATATCTTGAACTCACGTCTGAGACGTCAATTTCAGACCAGAATTGAGGCGGGGAATTGATGATGCTAGGCACTTCATGACCATACGGGTGAAAATGGCAACAAATGAGTTCTGACACGATTCACTTGTCAGCATTCGACGTGGGCAGCGTATTTCCATTCTCGAAGTCAAAGAGACATGAGCCATACTCAAGCCTCTGACCTTATGTCTCTTACGAAGCTCATCTAAGCACCCAATATCTACCTCCATCAACTTGAAAGTCTACCGCAACTACCTTTCTGCTGCGAATTAACCCTTCACCTCTAGACAAACATCGTCACAACAGCCAGCAAAATGACAAGAAGCCCAGGCAACAACATTGGCATCATCAACTCTTCAATCGCAAGCTCCGTGCTCGGCGAGATGAGACTCAGTGGGAAACTAGGCGGGAACGCCCGCCGCCTTTTCTCAACAGTCTCCATCAGATGCCTTGGAATATTCGTAATATCGATTGTCAATCGATGCGTGCTCTTGCTTCCATCATGCTTCACGTACAGTGTCGCCAGATCAGGATCGTACGACCACTCTCCATCGCTGACCTTGATGTCGATGTTGCGTTGTGCGTAGT